TCTGTGTTCATGAGGGCCATTGGTCTATAATTTTTTTTACTGATATGCTTGCCTAGTCTTGGCATTAAGACTATGCTGGCTTCATAAAATCTATTCAGCGTTTTCCATCCTTTTATGTTCTGGAATAATTTGAGTAAAAGTGGTGTCAATTCTCTCTGAAAAGTCATCTGAAAGGCCTGGACTTTTTTTGTTGGGAGTTTTTTAATGACTTGATCAGTTTCTTCTTTTGTTATACCTCCCTTCAAGTTTTGTGCTTCACACTGTTAGCTTAGGTAGGTCATGCCTTTCTAAAAGAATATCCATTTCTTCTGGATTTTCATTATTAGAGTATGACTCTTCATAATATTCTGTTGTTATCCTTTCTATTTCTTTTGGTTCTATTGTAACATCACCTTTATTGCTTATGTGTGTTATTTGTTATTAAGATCCCTCTATTCTTTTGTTAGATTTGCCAGTGGTTTGTCAATTTATTAATCCTTTCAAAGAACCACCTTCTTTTTCTTGCTGATTGTATTGTTTTTCTGTTTTTCAATTCATTTATATCTGCTGTTATCTTTATTATTTCTTTTCTTCTGGTGACTATTGTCTTCCTTTCGTAGTCTTTTTCTAATTGGTAAAGGAGTTATGTTAATGTGTTGATCTTGGTTCTTTCTTCTTTTTGGATTGTATGTTTTTTACTATAAATTGCCCTGTAAGCACTGCTTTTGCTGTGACTCAAAGGTCTTGGTATGTTGTGTTTTCATTCTCATGTGCTTCAAGGAAATTTTTTATGTACTTATTTTTTTTATTAGTTATAATTCAGTAGCTTTTAAACAGGGTATTACTCCATTTCTACATCTTTGATATTGTTTCCCTGATCTTCCTATTATTGATTTATAATTTTATAGTATTGTTATCTGAAAAGATGATTTGTAGTATTTTTATGTTTTCAAGTTTATCAAGGCTTGCACTGAGGCGGAACATATGTTCTGTTCTTGAGAATGTTCCATATGCATTGGAAAAGAATGTGTATCGTGGTGGTCTCCCATAAGCTATTTCTCTTCATGGTGTCCTACACAAATCTTAGGTTTCTTTGGATTTTTTGCTTCTTTTTTCTGATTGTTCTTCTAGCATACTAGCATTGAGAGAATACAAATATAATACTAATATCTTCAAGCTCACTAATTTTGACTTCCATTGATTCAGATCTACTGCTTTGACCTGTCAAAGTACTGTCCATTTCTGAAATCTTAGTATTAACTTGTGGGATTTCTAATTTCAGTTTTTGTATTTTTTCAGAAATTTTATTTATTTTTTACTTGTTCTTGTAGTGTTTTCCTGAATCTTCTAAAGTGTTTTCTGTGTTCTTCTTGCTTTCTTTGATTTTTCTCTCAATACATTTGTTGTTGTTGTTAAGTGCCGTTGAGTTGGTTCCCACACATGCAACCATGTATAGGGCTTCTAAGGAGCAACTGGTGAGCTTAAACCACTGACCATGCGGCCCAAACGACTTTGCAGTCTAGTGCATTAGCCCACAGCACCACACCAGTACCTAAATAGCACTCTTATGAATTCTTTCTCAGGTAGTTCCATTACTTTTTCTTCCTCAAAATGTTTTCTGCTTCTGCCTCTTGGACAGTTGCTTGAGCCTCCCTCCAATTTCTTCACGTGAACTGAAATTGTCTGTTGGGTTTGAGACATTGTGGTGTCGTTTTTTTTGTACTTCAGTGACGATTGCATGTTGATGTTTTCTTAGGCTCTCACAAACTTCCTCCTGATGGATGTGATCAGAGACTGGAAGTGTATGCACAGTTCTCCATTCAACATTGTGAAGCTCATTTTAGGGTGGGTTTGGCTGGTGTTGGCTGATGTGTATAGCTGTTCAGTTGTTGCAGGAGCCAATATTGGCTCAGCGAGTGGCGCTTCAGGGAGCATAGTGGTGTGGGGGCTGTAATGGTAATGGTTTCTGTTAGATGGGGCCAAATGCAAAAGCACATACACACACAATAAGATAAAACAAACAAACTAGCAAACATCAGTGAAAAAATAAAATAAAAAATAATGACATAAGGGAGAAAAAACAACAACCAGGCATAAAGCAGCAGGGGAACGCATATAATAACTGAAAACAGAAAAAAGGGATAGGAAATTTTCTATAAAAGAGAAAACTAAGAAAATAAAAGGAAGAAAGGGAGAGTGAAGATGAAAAGAGAGAGCGAGATTAGATAGTAGTAAAGAAAATTGAACAAGAAGGGGGTGGGGCAGAGAAAGAAGAAAAAACAAAAGTGGAGCCATAAAGGATAAAAAGTAAGAGAATGGAAGGAGAGGAAAAAGCAGAAGAAAGGATAAACAAACAAAAACAATGAAAGAAAAGAAAGAACATACACAAACCTTTGCAGGTGCTGGACCCAGAGAGGAGAAACCTCTGGGGTTCTCCTAAAAGAAAAGGAGCTCACCAGATGGGCTTGGGAGGAATGAGATGTCAGCGTACCTGGCTCTAGATGGAGTTCCTGTAGGTCTAGTTGTTGTCTATGTTCAGGTCACTAAATCCAGAATTCATGCAGGTCCTTAAGGTAGCTCAGTTCACTGTCTACCAGGACCAGAGGGCAGCTAGGGGCTGGGCAGCCAGCCATGAAGGCTCCTGCTAGTCCAAGACTTGTCTGTCTGGTGGCTCTGTGGGCCCTGTATGTCTGAAGAAGAGCCTGCCCAAATCCACACACCATGGCAGCACAGCTAGTGCCTACCTCATTTTGGCACAGATCACAACCGTGAAGCTATGAACTCCTGGACTAAGGGGCTGCGCTGGGGCTGGACACACCTCTAATCACCAAAGGAGCATGGTACAAAAACAAATCACACCTTTTCCATTGCCAGTCACCAGTGTACCACCGGGTTGCCAGAGCTGCCTGAAAATGTTCAAGACAGCCATGCCTTGTCTTGCCAATAAGTGCGTTCACCAGTCTCCTTCCTTCCTTCACTGCCCCTGCTCAGCCTCATCTCCAAGAAAGTATTCAATCCACTTCTCTAACCTTTCCTGTGACGCTCAGGGTTCCAGGATCTGTGTCTGTTTCATTTGGTCTCCCATATCTTTATTACAGAGGATCTCTGTGTAACGTGTCTCCTAGTCGCCGTCTTGCTGGAAGTACTGACATTTTAAAAATGTAGATGGTCAGTGTTGGAGTCCAGATCAAGATTCAGAGGAAGAACTGGATATCAATACCATTCTACAGTCAGCGAGCAGAACAGCAGAGTCAGGTTGAAATTTAAATTAAAAGGTTTTATTGAGAGGCAAGGCAATTTGCAAATTGGGAATCAGGAGGTCCTGAAAAGGAGACAGCTCAGGAAGTTTTATGAAATTACAAGGAACTTCGGTAAAAATTCAGTGGATGACCTTTGGGTAAATGTTTACAAAATTGGATGAGGGCACATCTGATTGTTAGGAAATTGCATGTTGTTGTTCCAACTCACAGTGACCCTGTACAGGGTTTCTGAGCCTTTAAAACTTTGCAGGAGCAGAAAGCCTCCTCTTTCTCCAGATGAGAGACTGGTGAGATGCAACCACCAGCCTTGTGGTTTACATTCCAATGCTTAGCCTATGGAGCCATGGTGCTCCCCAGGAGATTACATAGACTTCTAAAATTGATTTTTTTTTTAAAGTTACACAGTAATCATTAAGTAGGGTACATATGGCCTCAAAACAGGCATGATATCTTCCTTGAATGACTGCCAAGAGGACATGCATAATCTGAAATTTGTTTTGTGTAAGCATTTGTTCTGAGAATTGTTTAGTACCTGACTTCCACAGAAACAAACAAAACCTCTAAGCAGGAAAGTGACATTGTTCTCTGAAATTGTTTACCATGGAATTTTTCCAGGTGCAACTGAGAATTACAGTAATAAAAAGCAACATTCCTGACACAGAGGTTACTTTTGATTCAAAATGGAGTTTTAGCCTCAGATCATAGCTCAGCCATCACCTCATGTCGGGATTCCTAAACTAATCTGGGGTGCTCTTACTCAATGTTGAAATCAAGAAGAAAACAGCAAGGTGTTTTCTCTGGTTATTAAGGCAGAGATGTCAAAATAGGAAACATACTGTTTGTTTTATTGGTTCAGTTCAACTGTTTTTTTCCCTCCATGGAAAACTGGAGACAATTAATTCGTTCTGTTTTTTTCAGAAGTATTAATATTTTCTTGGAGCTGTGGTATGACACTGTAGGATAAGCACTGGACCGCTAACTGAAAGGTTAGTGGTTCAAATCCACCTATCGTTTCTTGGAAACCTTATACAGGGTTGTTGTGAGTCGGCACCGACTTGATGGCACTTAGCAACAAAAACAAAATTTTCTTGCTGCAAAAATAAAAGAATGAACAAATATTTCGGTAAAAGTAAGGATATGGTTTTGGAGTTTATTTTTAATTAACCTTTAAAATTGTACAGCCACAAAGTTGTTGTTAAGTGCCGTCAAGTCATAGTAACCCTTAAAGGGTTAATGAGGAGGTTGGTGGGTTTGAACCATCCACTTTGAGGTTAGCTGTGCTTATCCTAAAACACATCAGGACTCAAAGTAGAAGTTAACAAGTAACCATCTGCATTTTAGACAGGTGGGAGATGTGAGGGTTGCGCCACCAGGGGGCGCGCCAGCTCTCCTTCGTCGTGCCTGGGCGCCGAGCCGGCACACGCCTGGCCACACCTTCTGCCCCGCCCGTCACGTATCGTCACACCTCTTGCTCCGTCCCACACGTCCCGCCTCCACTTCCGCTTTGAGAGAGTTGATAACCTCGCATTTCCGGGAGGTCCTCGTGGAGAGCGTCACCTTGGTCAAGATGGATTTTTCTGGCCCTGCTAAGCCGCTCTTGTCGCTGAACCCAGAGGAACAGGCCAAATTTCAGAAGCAGGTGGCGCAGGCCCGCCGGCGCGCGACCCAGGTGAGGAGTGGGGACGGACACGGGATGGGGGGGTGCAATTCGCGCGGAGCCGGGCCCGAATCTTTGCACCACGTTGCGCCTGGCCCCGGGCACTCGCCAAATGGGCGCTCCCCGAAGAGGGTCTCCCCAAATAGGCGCCCGACTGGCGGCGGCCCTTCTGTAGAAGGAGTGGGCACGTAGGGATTCGTGGCAGCGAACGCCGGCTGCTGGGAATGGCTCTCCCAAGCCGCAAGTGACCCGGACGGTAAAGTGGCGCTGGGGATGGGTATGGTAAGCACTGTACTGGACTGCGTGCTCCGTAGAAGGAAGATGAGGCTTTCTGCTTCCACCAAGATTCAAAAAGTTTCAGAACCCTAGCCAGGGTCTCTGTGAGTCCGAACCGACTCGACGGCACTTAGCAACGGAGTGACGCTGTAGGCTCAGCGCTGCTGTTCACCCCAAGGGCGTAGTAAGGTACAGAATGGCGGTGAGCCCACCGACGGCTCTAACACCTACCCCAGGGTCCTCCCGCCTCTACTTTTGCTCCTGGAAAGGGAGTTCCGGACAGGCCTCCGTATTCGGAAGGCTGGTGACTTGGAGTTCTTTTAAAGACAATACTTGCCAAGTTCTGTTTGCTGAGTAGGGCCCCTGTCATCAAGTTTCTATTGAAGTTCTCTGGGCCAGAATTGAAAACTCGGCATGTTGCAAAGATTTATGTATGTACATATTGATCCAACATAGTAATGTTTTTCTCCCTTACGTTATGCTGCGATATGAAACTAACAAGAGTGTTATTACCGTTTTAGTTGGGATTAAATGTTAAAGTGCTAATTCATTACAGTTGTGATCATGGAAACACGGGGTTCTTGGCATCATTGTTGAATTTAGAGGCAGGGGTAGTACTGCAATGTGATATTTGCTTCTTTTTTTTTTATTTAAATGTATATGTATTTACTTGATCTTTATCTCTAGCAAGAAAAATTAACTCCTGGAGTAGTATATGTGGGCCACTTACCCCGAGGCCTTTTTGAACCCCAATTGAAGGCGTATTTCTCCCAGTTTGGTACTGTTACACGACTCAGATTGTCCAGAAGTAAAAAGGTAAAAATTTTTAACATTTATATTTCATGTGTGTGTGTGTGTGTAACCAGTGACAGTTTACAGTGTTGTTGGGTTTTTTTTTTCTTGGTTGCTATTTCCTTCATTTTTGCTGGGTAAGGTATTAGTATTTTGCTACATGACATGTGTTTTCACAGCACATTTTAAAGGGTTTTTTTTTTTTAATGTTTTATTGTGAATTATGTGATAGTTTACATGGGAGAACTTTAGCTTTACATTCATCCTATCATTTTGTTTCATTGCCATACATCATCAAACAACCACAGGGTATACACTGTGAGCCTGTCCCCCCCACCCCCCATCATCAGCACACAGCCCCTCTCCCTCTCTCTGTCTACAAAACGTCTACCTTTACATTTCCAACCTTCACAATCAGGCCTGATAAAGGTTTTGTTTGTTTTTTTTTAAACTATTTACGGAGGTGGTACATTTTGAGTTGGATTTCAATGTTTCCCTTCCACTTCTCCCTGTTGACTGTTGGGATTGTGAAATGGGTCTTTGGGCATAGTTAATTTTACCAAAATTAGACTCAACAGGCTAGTGAATGTATCCAAGCTGCCTTTATGTCTTTTGATTCTTAGTATGTTGAGCCATACAACTTTTAAGTTGTCTCTTATCTCCATAATCAGCACCAATTTTTATTCATACACAGAAACACATAATACGAGATTGTAAAGTATTTCTGTTGTTGTTGTCAAGTGCTGTTGAGTCAATTCCGACTCATAGTGACCCTGTATAGGGTTTCCAAGGAGCAGCTGGTGAGCTTGAACCGCCGACCTTGCAGTCTGGCGCATTAACCCACAGCACCACACCAGGACTAAAAAGTATTTCTAGATGTCATTAATTATTAGTAACATTTACTGAGTATGAGTACTTAACTGACATCATGTTGAACCATATGAGAATAGTTACTTTATCATTCCCGTTTATTATAGACTTAACTGAGGCTTGGAAAGCTTAACTATTATCTATCCAAGTGTGTGTTAGAGTGGGATCTGAACCTGGGCATTGGACTCTAGAATTCATATAGTTGTTACTGAGCTCTGGAGGAAAATCCACTTTGCGGTGTGGGGCTGAAGTCAGAACTCAGAATGTGGGTTTTAGAGTGCTGTGTGGGAAAAGATGAGGCTTTCTGCTCCCGTAAAGATTTACAGCCTCGGAAACCCTGTACAGGGTCGCTATGAGTCAGGACCGACTCCACGGCACATAAGCACCACCACACAGATCCTTTGCTTCCACCTGGGAACAATAACAACAAAAAGATGATTACTGCCAAGTCAATTCTGACTCATAGCAACCCTATATAGGACCTCAGAGACTTAATTCTTTACAGGAGCAGATAACCTCATATCTCTCCTGTGGAGCAACAGTTAGCAGCTCAGCATTAGACCACAGTGCCCCCAGAGCTCCTTCCCACCTTGGAAGGTAGCCAGTAAATGTGAGAATGAGCAGTGTTTTATTGTTTAGTTAGGAGTCCTGGTGTGGTGTTGTGGGTTAATGCAAGGTCAGTTGGAACCTCACGGTTGGGGGTTCACGCTCACCAGCCACTCTTCAGAAACCCTTTATGATTCAAGGCACTTAACAACAATAAAGGAGTTGGATTCCTGATGTGGCATTGTGGGATCAGCACTGGACTGCAAAGTAGAAGGTCAGTGGTTCAAACCCACAGGCTGCTCCTCGGAAACCCCATACAGGGTTGCTGTGAGTCAGAACTGACTTGACGGTACTTAGCAATAACAACAAAGAGTTTGTTCTCTGTTCTTACCTCTAAAATGGAAATAGGTCACTTGCATTTTGTTGTGAAGCACCATACCATCTTCTGCGTATTGGGAATATATGAGTAACATGACTGTCAGTGAAGCAGTCCATAAATGAAGAACTGGGAAGCCCTACTGATTTTCTTTACACAGTGCATTGTGACTGTTGAATAGATCTCAGGCATAGGCATCATGTATTCATTATACATAACCAAATTCTAACAAGATTTGAAAAGCAACAAATATGTTTGACTCTTTTGGATCTTTTTCTTCCCTGTAGTCCTTGTGTGGCACTGTAAGATAAGCACTGGGCTGCAAGACTGGTTTGAATTGCAAGGTCAGCAGTTCAAACCCACCTGACGGCACTTTACAGTTATCAAAAACATTAAAGCACTTCTAATGTCAACTTCAATTCGCATAATCTGGAACTGGCTAGGTTGTGTCGTTGTTAAGTATCGTCGAGTCATTTCCAATTCATAACTACCCTTTATAGGGTTTCCAAGTAGCAGCTGGCTGGTTAGTTTGAACCACCGACTTACCCTGTGGTGCCACACCAGGTTTCCTCTTTTATAATCAGGTTTATGTAAATCATTTAAATTAGTAGCTAAAAGTTAGTTTAATCGTTAAAATTTATTTAGCTTATATCTTGTGGATTTTCCATTACAGACTGGAAATAGTAAAGGCTATGGCTTTGTGGAGTTTGAGTCTGATGATGTTGCCAAGATAGTTGCTGAAACAATGAACAACTACCTTTTTGGTGAAAGACTCTTGAAATGTAAGTACTCTACTCTTACCTGTTAAGGCTGAGTGGATCTCTACTGCTAACGGGTGACTGGTGTGAAGGACAGATGGTTCAGCTGCTTGGACACTTCTTTTGGGGGGGATTCTCTTAAGGATTGCTATAAGACTTGAAGTGCATTTCCAGGCAGATTCTAATTAGAATTCTTAAAACTCTACTTAAGTAGCTTTTAACTCTATGTAGAGTCAAAACAAGTTAGTGTGGGAGCACTTTGGCACAGCTGTTATACATTCTTAATGGACTATGCAAGAGTCCTCTGCCGAACTGTCATTGTAGTTGAAGTCTGGAGATTAAGCACGAGTGAGCTGGATAAAGGGGGGTGGGGGTAGAGCCTGACTGGCTGAAGGACAAGTCCAAAGCCTGAGGTGACTGACATCTTTTGCCTAGAAGGGAATTTGAGGGGGGGAATAAGAAGAGATAAAACAGAAATAGCAGACGCAGGTCAGATTATTAAGTTTAATTAGTCAAGTTAGGGAATTAAGTCATCTTGCAGGCAATGGGAAACCCATTAACAGGTTGTAGATCGGATGATATCAAAGGATGACTTCAGAGCGAGCCTAAGTGATTTCTACTATAGCTCTTGCTTACCACTCCACTGTCAGTTTGTTGTTCTGTGAGCTGGGAGATAATCTCACCAGTATTTAAATACCAGCAGGATCACCTATGGTGGGCAGGTTTCAGCTGAGCTTCCAAGCTTAGACCGACTAGGAAGAGTGACCGACCACTTTTGGTTGGGTAACCACTGAAAATCTTAAGACTAGATAACAGTTGAACATTATCCAATACAGTGTCAGAAGATGAGTCCCTCAGGTTGGAGAGCACTCAAAATACAACTGGAGCAGAACAAAAGTGGAGTTGACCTTAATGACGTGGATGGAGTAAAGCTTTCAGGATCTCCAATTGCTGATGTGGCACAACTCAAAATGAAAAGAAATAGCTGTATACATCCATCCATTAGTAATCAGAACGTGTAATGTACAAAGTATGAATCTTGGGAAATTGGAAATTGTCAAAAATGAAATGATTAAAGATCATTTTGAATTGAACAGTCATGGTTCACTTAGAAGGACAAATTGGTGAGGAATGGCATTGTATTATAAAGACCAGTTGATACCACCAGCCACTAAAGCCAGTGATGATGAAATTAAGGAATTCTACCAACTTCTTCAGTCTGAAATTGATCAAACATGCAATCAAGATACAGTGATAGCTACTGGTGATTAGAATTTCAAAGGCGAAAACAAAGAAGATCTGTAGTTGTAAAACAAGGCATTTACAATAGAAAGGATTCTGAAGATCACATGATAGAATTTTTGCAAGACCAATGATTTATTCAATGCAAATACCCTTTTTAAACTACATAAAAGGCAACTATATACACATGGACATCACCAGGTAGCCTACAGAGGACCCAAATTGACTACATATGTGAGAAGGGACACTCAAGGCCAGGGCTCAATTGTGGAACAGACCATCAGTTACCTGCAAGTTCAGGCTGAAGCTGAAGAAAGTCAAAACAAGTCCATGAGAGCCATAGTATGACTTTTAGTATATCCCACCTAAGCATTAGAACTTCATATTCCTCTCCAGTACCGTAATTCAGATGCATCAGTTCTATTGCAGTCTTTCTTATTCATCATCCAACTTTAACATGCATATGAGGCTATTGAAATAACATGGCTTGTGTCGTGGTTTGATTAGGATTTGATGATTTGGGTCTAACTTTTCAACTTGGAATGTTTCCTAAACATTCCTATGTGGTTATTATTCCCACCCCTACTCTGAACCTGCAACTATGTATGTTTCCCATCAGAAAGCCCAGACAGCAAACCCCCTGTAGGATTGGGTGTTGTTCTTTGGTTTTATCCAAGGTTTTTTTCCTTATTCTCTGTACTAACCTTCAGGGGAAACACATGCCAACTTTCCTGTTTTATTAGGAGGAAAGGGACTGACCTTACCCAGAATGATCTCTGAGACATCTGTTTTATTGGTGTCAAAGTCCTAGTGACCCTGGTTTGGTTGGGATAACAGTGTCCACTGTAGGGAACCTTCTATAGGAATTTGTATCAATCTAGCAGCCAACAGTGACTGCATAGGACAGGGGTTGTCATGCTCCAAATGGACCCTGTCTGGTTATCGTTAGAGCCTCCGCTCTACCCCCAGTAGTGTGTGAGCTGTGGGTGTAGCCTCCACTCAACATACTTTCTTCCTAGCACACAGCAAACTCAGTCAACAGTCTTCAGTGCCAACCGAAAGCAGGAGTGGGAAGGTTTGAGAGACCTCAGCTATGGGCTGGCTATACTAGAGGGAAACTTAAGCACTTCTGACAAGTGTCTGCTCAGGAAGGTGCTAGAATGCTCTAGACAGACACCTAGAGAGGTCAGCCTTGTTGGTTTTAGAGCAGAAGCATGGGGCCCTATCCTTTTGCACAGGCCTGGGGATGTTAGGGAGGCAGGCTCTTTTGCTGAGGCTGCTTCCCCAGTTCAGCTACTGGGGGTAGGAGCAAGATGCTGAGAAAAGTGATTTTCCTGCTGTATGCTACTTGTTGGTCAGCTGGTTTTTACCTATCTAGTACCCTGTTCCTGCGCTCTGCTACCTATTCAGAGTCCCTCAAGGCTGAACATTGTCTCCTGTTGGTGTTTCTTGTATTTGTGGGGTAGGATCAGAACAGCTTTCCATAGCGTTTTCATGGTATTTAGAAACATATCCAGGCCTGTTTTCCCAAGCATCTCTGGTGGGTTTGGACTGCCAGCATTTCAGCTAGCCGTAGACCATTTGCTCCATCCAGGGACTCCTAGATTGAAAGCTAGTCCTGCAGTGGCTTTCTGAACAGCTTGACGGAGGTAAAATTACAAGGTGGCTCCTGTCAGGAAGAAAGGCCAGGTGGGCAGCCTCCAAATGTTGTGTCATGTCTGACTTCTGAAAAATAACAGAAACTGCTTTGGATTTAGATTTTGTTGCTTCTGCACTGGAACATTTACTACTCCCTTAGGGTAGAATTGGCTCATTCTGATAAGAGATTAACCACATTTTCAAGGATATGAACTCTGGGGAGTTACAATGACATTAACATAAATTCCTTCCTTCTCATTGGGTTGAAAACTTTTTCTTGTTTTATTTTTTTACATGCAGGCGATTTGATGCCATCTGAGAAAGTACATGAAAAACTTTTCAAAGACTGGGATGTTCCCTTTAAAAAGCCATCAAATCCAGCAGTGAAACGGTATAATAAGAAACGGTCAACTGCAGAAAAGCTACGGATGGAGAAGCGATTCAAGAACAAAGAAAAATTACTCAGGAAGAAGATAGCTAAAAAAGGAATAGTGTATGATTTTCCTCCATTGGTAAATACTCTTGGATGAAATGATTTGTGGGAGGGGAGGGTTGTACATACTAGTAATATAAAATGGTCTCGCCATGAGTACTCAGTGGCAACAACAGACAACAGTTTTAGCATATGAGGATCATCAAAGAGTTTGTGGGAAAATTCCATTCTTTGCATTTTTCCACATACTTTATTGAAGCCTCGTATATGATCTTTGTTATTATATATAAATTATCTAGCCTTATCACATACATACTAGATTTTTGCTAAGTTTGTGAAACATCTGTTTGTATTATAGGTTCTTACTAAAAATTTTATCACAACAGATCTAATTATCTCCTTTATGCAAAGGAAGAAACTCTTTGAAGAATTTACTTGCCCATGATCAGATTTTAGGTTATTGATGTTACACTGTTTAAACAAAAAAAGACAGTGCTCTTAGATTACTATTTAAAGGTTGTGTTGGCAGAATTAATGAGTCCTGGTGTGGAACTGTAGAATAAGGACTTGGAAACCCTATATGGTTTGAGTTGAGAACCAACTCAGCAGTCCGTAAAAACAACATGTATAAAAATCAAGTCTAAATTGATGATCTCTTTTGTGCTACTTGACTAAAAATTAAATACCTTCATATTCTTTTAAACTGGTAATATTTTCAAAATAAAGTGTGTGTGCATATATATCAAAACTAGCTAGGTAGCGCCCCCTCTATAAATTAAGTGTGTAGTGGCTGAAATATTGCAAGTGTTACATGTAGATAAGGTAGCATAGATTTTCATTCCATTCTTACTTCATTGCTTGCTGAATGAGGAGATTTTGCTGAATCTGTTCTCCCTCTTTCACAATATGGAGAGTCTGCTAGCACTTACCAGTAAGAGTCTGATAGTGTAGGAATGAAGGTTGTTAGGATAGGACTAGAAAAGACTGGGTTGCCCTTGTTTGGCCAGGTTATTGATTCTTAATTGTTTGTCCAAATCCCAAACACAGTCTAACAACACTGTCTAAAGTTGTGATGTTTAAATTTAAATGCTCAGTCATTTTAGGGAGGTTTTACCAACAATTGTATATGATAATATTATAGGAAAGTTTAAAAAAGAATAAAGATGTGAGACTAGTGGTGTATAATTTCTTTGTTTATTTAAGATTTTACCAAAAAAGAAAAAACAGAATATTTTGAACACTGATCTTCGGAACTCTACAAATACCCAGGTAAATTTTTATTGATCATACTACATGCTGGATAGTAGAAATAGTAAAATTATTCAAGACTATAAGAAGCTCTGGTAGCATAGTGGTTATGAGTCAGGCTGCTAATCTCACGGTCAACAGTTCAAAACTTCTAGCTGTTCCACAGGAGAAAGATGAGGCTTTCTGCTGCCATAAAGATTTACAGCCTCAGACACCCTATACAGAGTTACTATGAGTCGGAACTGACTCCATGGTACATCAGCACCACCACCATTCAAGAAGACTATGACACTGATAAATGGGCAGATACCAAGTGACTTTAAATTTATTTAAGATTTTACTTGTGACGAAGTAAAAGATTTCAGGCACTCCTGAAAAGACTCTAGGTAACCTGGTAAAACTCTTCATTACTCTGGGCACAGGTATAGAAATAATTTGCAATACAAAAAGTAGTCTCAAAACTGTTATCACCTAATTTATGACATTTTCAGTTAATTCTTGGTGATTCATTGGCTACAGAGAGCTTAACAAAAGTTAATCATGTGTTTATTGTCTGTCTACCTCTTCTTCCCCCCTCCCAGACCGAAATGAGACTTGCTAATTTTTTTGCACATAAAAGATTGATTTGTTGCAAAACAATGCAGTGATAACTTCAGATCTGCTTAAAGCACACTGATACATGGAATTCAGATCTATACGATTAATTTCCAAGTATGCTGATAAGCAGTTTACATACAAATCAGAAAGCTTTATACTGAGGTGGTGGTGGTGGTGGTGGTGGTTATGTGCTGTGGAGTTGGTTCCGATTCATAGTAACCCTGTACAGGGTTTCCGGGCTGTAAATCTTTATAAGAGCAGAAAGCCTTAACCGTTCTCCTGCAGAACAGCTGGTAGTTTCAAACTGCTAACCTTGTGGCTCACAGCCCGATTTGTAACCACTACGCTACCAGAGCTCCTTTTACTGAGGTAGTTGAGTGGTAATTTTCATTAAGTTGTCCCCTCTGGCTCTGGAACAAAAAAGCTTTATTATGAATTGAGTAAAGGTTTATAGAAAAGATTATCAGCTAATGTCCAAAGGGGACATTTTGCAAGCCAGCCTCCTACCCATAAGCACAAAGTCTTACTTAGTCAGTGGGCCTAGAACCTCTGCAGCTGCTCCGTGTCTGCTGGTGCCACGTTTCTAGGTAGTGATCTCACACTCCTTTCAGGCTCTTCCTTCTTGATGGTCTTGGATTGTTGGATTGTGTGTTCCTGAAATGAAAGATTAACTGAAGCACTGCAGGGTTGGTTTGAACCACAAGGGTGTCAGTTACTAGCCGCTCCTTGGAAACCCTAAACAGGGTGGCTATGAGTCGGAACCAACTCGACAGCACTTAACAATACTTTTACTTACACAACTTATACAATTTTAGTTTGACAGTCATGCTTAATCCTAACAGCTAACATTGTATCATAAAATCTGATCACCATCATCCCACTTCCCCTTTCCTAAACTTCATCTGGAAAAGAGAAAACTAGTCAGTGTATAAAGTACTTTACACCCTCATTCTGAAACTAAGCACACCCATGAAAGCTGTAAGCCAGCCACACATCATGCCCTTCCTCCATTTTTGATAGCCAGTGTCTAAATGGCTTGTCCTTGTGGCTCTGTGGGTTGATGTGAACTGTAAGGTCAGTGGTTCAAACTCACCAACAGTTCCTTGGAAACCTTATGAGCGTCGCTTGAGTCAGTGCTGACTAGATGACACTTAACCCAGTACACTGAGGAAAAAAGTTTGTTTTTTGATATGAAGAATCTTCCCATTCTGGTTGGAATTTTGGGCAGCTGCATCCATAAGTAAAAGTCTAGTTAATCAAATGGCAAGCACTTTGCACTTGGCTCACAGTTATCAAGCATCTTTACCTGGTCAGGTTAGGGTCAGCTTAACTTCGCCATCCCTGCTAGGGTCAAATGGATACTAGTACAAGTTGGTAATTCATGCACACCTCCCTGCACTTTAGACCAACTGGTCACTTCACGCTCATCCCTAGACCCCAGGGGCTAGGTTAGTGCCCAGGGGCTCTGGAGTTTATATGTCTCCGTAAACTTTAGCTAAGCCAGCCCTTCCTCGTTCTCATCTCAAGGAATGCAGGTGTCAGTAGAACATGTCCAGACTTAGCCTATATCTTCATTACTTCATTTCTCTTACTCCACTCACAAGTCGATCCAGGTGGTCACCAGAAAGCATGCTAAACTGCTTGTGGATTCCGTTTAACTTTCAGTCCTAGAAGGGGGTTTTCTTTTCTCTGATGTATGTGTTGGCTTTTTTTACTTTGATGCTTCCAAAGCAAATCGCTTGCTTGAAACTGAAACAGCCAAACAGTCTGGTTTTTGTAGTTTTGGTTTTTGAGTTTCTTGGCAGGTTTTTCTTTCAGTAAGATTCTTCGGTTCTTCCAGCAGTCCTGGGTTGGTTTGCATATCTTTTCAAATGGGAATGTTCCAACTCTAGAAGGTTCTGGGTAGTGTCTTAACATTGATTTTCTCCACTTGTCATACTACAGGATCTGATGTCTAGGGATGGATAACCTAGTGCTTAGCATTTCCACTATCATTCCCATAAGTGTGAATCTGACGGTTGACTAGGGTATATATGTTGTGTGTGCAGGCTTCAGAATTAATATTTGTGGTGGTGGTCACCAGTTCAGTAAGGGATGAACCTATGGCATCCCCATCACTCACAGGGTAGACTTCCCCAGTAGGAGTTCTTTGGTCCTTGGTAAGAGAAGAGCTGTGTGCCAAAGCTCTCATATGGCTTCTCATGTCGGTCCTCTAGAGCTGAGTGAAGTAGGTGCTTTGCCTAAAGGACTTTCCATAGTCCTAACATTTGTAGGCCTTTTCCCTAGTGTGTGTCCTCATGCAGATTGAGTGATGAACTGTAATGGAAGGATTTCTCATATCAATTGTATCCGTAGGGCTTTTCCTTGGTGTTAATCCTCTGGTGTTCTATGACGGGAACTCTGGCTGAAGGCCACACTCATTGGAGCTTTTCTCCTGTGTGGATTCTCTGATGCTGGATGAGGGGGACAAGCTGGTGGGAAGGCTCTGCTGCATTCATAAGATTCATGCGATTTCTCCCAAATGTCTGTTCACTGATGTTTAGATAAAGGTTAGCTGTGGCCAAAACCCTGGCATTATGCTCAATATGGTTTCTCCTTGGTATGGATTCTCTGTGCTCAGTGAGGTGTGTGCTCTACCTGGAGGCCCTGCCCTCACTGGCTGCATCCACAAGGCTTCTGTGTGTGTCTTTTCATGCTGAGTGAAGAGTGTGACTGAAGGCTTTCTTCCCACACTCCTTGCAGTGCTCTGGCTGGAGGCCTTTCCTGTACTTGTTGGACTCAGTACTTCTCTCCTGTGGGGATTCTCTGATGCTGAATCAACAGCGTGACTCAGGTGTAGGCTTTGTTGCACTCCGGCACCCTAGGGCTTTCCCCCAGTGTGGATTCACTGCTGATTGGTCAAGAATGGCCTGTAACTGAAGGCCTGGCCACGCTTTCTGTATTTACAGGACTTCTTCCTGGTGTAGGCTCAGGGGTGCTGGATGAGGTGGATACTTTGCTGGAAGGATTTCCTATTTACACTCATAAGGTTTCTCATCCATGTGAGTCTGCTCATGTTGGCAAAAGGATTTTCCCATAGTCGCTGCTTGTAAGGCTTCTCGCCTGTGTGAGCTTCCTGGTGCGTGGAGCAGTTTGGTTGACGGTCTTCCCATATTGCTTGCTTGCATTTTTAGGGTTTTCCCACCAGTGTATTTTCTGTGGTGTTTGGCAAGCACTGAACTGTTTTTTGCAAACCTTTTCCATGTTCATGACTTTCATAAGGTCTCTCCTCCCGTGTGTGTCTTAAGGCTTTTCCACATTTCTGACATTCATAGGGTTTCTCTTTTGTGTAGGTTTTCTGAAAAATATTTGAATCTAGTTTCTGTTTCTGTCCTGTGTTCCCCATTATGGGGGTCTTGTCTTTCAGGAGTGATTGCTTGATCCAGAGCCAATGGTGAGTTGGGACATTGGGGTTCAGACTCAGGTTTTCTCCAAACCCCTCCCCTGATGCTGCTCCTTCACAGACATGAAAGCCAGCCACACCACACAGATATCTGCGATGTCATGACTTCCCTTCTTGTGGCCCTTGGCATAGTCACCCTGGTGGACCACAGACTACCTCACAGTCATCTTTCTACCAGGACATCGTCAGTTCTTCAGAGATAGATGTCTTGCCACAGACTTACCTTGTAAAAGTAGAGAGGAGGTGATGTTTTAGTTATTCCTAGTGTCACCCCACATTTATGTGCTCTATATTGTCTTGTACTTTTTCAATCCAGGACTCTACACCAGTTTGTACACCATCATTTTTAGAGAGACGAAAATCTGAAGTGGCGGAAATGAATGGTGATGATGAAGATAATGAGATTA